GGCCATTATCTACTCTGTCAACTTATGTCAAATCCTAATTGTGTTATCTGCCATTTTATGCTACTTTAGCACCTAAATAATTTGGTAGTAAGCACTTCACTTCTCTACTCAGTCTAGGACTCAGAGCAAAGACTGCACACAAGACTATTTTCCCCTGACACCTCTTCTGGTAGAGCTCTACTGGAACTTAGTTATTGCTCTTTGAAAATGTCACAGTTTGGGCTGAGAGTTTAAGGATGACTTGTGGTAAAGCTTTACCAAGTGTGCGTGCACAAAGCTATACTCTCCTCTTTCTTCTCACAGCATTTATACCTTGGTCAAATGACAAGGTATGCTTGGTGTCTCAAGCCTCTTTTGCATGAGGAAAAGAAAGCAAAGAAAGCAAAATGGATTTAAGATTCTAACATGGGAAAACAGTATTTTCTTCATATCTTAGTGAAAGAGATGAGGTATCAATCTCTTCAGAGCCTAAATTCTGAGAGACAAAGAACTCATCCTGAGGCAAGCACCTGCCTAAAGCAGCCATTTCAAAACAACTGAAGTTTGTCATGGTTTAAAGATCCTGTTTTCAGATACTTTTACTAGAGGCAAGCGTTGAGCAGCCCCACCATATATGACACTTATCTCTGCCTACAATCTTTTCTAACCCTTGCATACAACCTGATGCTGCTGAACTCATGTACTGCCAGCAGCTGCTGAAAAATGTTACTCACTTTGCTGCTAAAGTAGCACTGTGGAGCAACCATGCAGCTAGCATGCCACGAATATCCTATAAATGTCCTCTAAATTGGAAAATAAAAAAATCCGAAACTAGCAAGTACCCATCAACGACCTGCATTTGGGACAAAATTAAGAACTGATGTATAAGAAATAATTTTGAAGTTTGGACAACAAATGACAAATAGCAAGAGGCCTGTTTGTCTTAACTTCTTCAACAATAAAATGCTGTGAACAGGAAAGGCTTTTGCAATACAATACCTCCGTGTCAATAGTTTTCAGATTCTCAGAACTACAAATTTCCTTGGGTTGTTTCACTGGTTTTCCTAGTCACAGCTAAACATAAGAGATTATTAAGAATTAATCTGATAACTAGAACAGCTTTAGATGAATTGGAAATGCGTGATATTATACAAATACCATTATAACAAAAGCCCATAAATATTAAAAACTAGAATATAATTGCTTTATATAGAGTTATCAGATGATTCTTTGCATATTTTGAACACGTATACACCCAACAGTCAAAACCCAAGACTCCTTAGGAATTTCCCTCCCCTCAGTCTTGGAATGGCACCTTTGAAATCCAGAAATTAGTTGCTTTGATGCTACGTTTGGAGCAGTATCCATGCTTAAAGTTACAGAAACAGATTTTGCCTCTGCCCAGATATCGTGCACAGTTTAAGGCTTCTATGTGTGCACAATATGGTCATCATCATACAGATCTGTACTCCTCTGAATCTGCCTGGTTTACAGCCACGGGTATTTATTTGGCCTAAGCTGGAGAAATCTGTTTTTCCTGGCTCCAGATTAGAGAAGAGTTTTGGACAAGTACTTCTGATGGTGATTTAGATATGCAGGTATATGTGAGATAATACAAAGGTAATAACTAATAATCACTTTCTTTCTAAATGCAGGGTAATCTGGATCTATGAAACAAATTTTTCAAACAAGAATGACAACAGTTACATACCTTTCAGTGTGTTTTATTGCCAGCTTAGCTCATTTTGATCACACACCTTTTCAGAACAACAAAAAGTACTGCTGACAGACAACTCTCAAATGTAGTCACCATGAAGTCATAAAAGTTGTCTGGTGTAAACACACTTGTCAGGCACTATTAAAAAAAGTTACTAGGTTACTGAAAGTTTGCAAAATTATAGAGTAAATGCTGGAGGCCTGTATTACTTAACGTAATCTAATCTTTATTAATAGTGAGTGTAATCTAATTTAGTTGTTTTCTTCAACCTTTAGAATATTGGGACATACAACTTCCTTACCTGCAGACTCCTAAGAAGCTCACTGTTCACGTAGTTGATTTAGCAACCTTGTATTACATGCAACGACAGCAGCAGAGTTTTTAGAATCCTTTTCTCACAGTATTGGAAAAAAGTTGGGGAATGATTTACCCAGGACCTAGATCTCTAAAAATGAATACATATGGTATTTTACACAGAGCAGTACATGTTCTCAAATCCCACACCTGTGCCGTCTCAGCAGCTAGGCAGTCACCACTGCAATTATGGTCCCTGCCTTTATTCACATCTTAACAATAAAAATATTCATAGGTTATTTGAGGAATTACCAGTTTGGGCAACAAAAGCTGAATGTAACTTAGGCCAAAGGTCATATTTTCAGTATGCAAGTATAGCTATCACAGAATGACAAGAATTGTTGAGACAGTAAGAACTGAAAAGACTTTCATAAACATATTCTAGAGCCACGATGTTCTTTATTCTTGTAAGATTGGTCTTATTGCTATTGTTAGATTTATCATTTTGAAGTTTCATTAAATAGATCTATCAAACAAAAAATTAAAAGCTGCACGGTGTAAAAAAAGCTCCCCTGAAACTCAGATATACTGCAGACACCCTTTCAAGAGTTACATCAGGAGTGTCAGTACTGACTTGACATTAATAAGTACATGTCATCTGGAGTTAGTTACATTATGATCACTAATACTGTACACGATGGTCCATTTGCAGGAGTGGGGGGTGTCCCCTAAGAGACAGGCTATCCAACATGCGAGAGGAGACTTGATGACACTTTCCCATCTGTTCCTGCCAGAAATTCTTCCATGCTCTGCTGTTTGGTAGTAGGGCGTAGGGGACACTCTCCAGTGGCTACTGTACGAACAGAATGCTGAAGGCCATCACGACACAGCACACAGCCACGTAGGGGCTCTTCCGTTCACCTGAGAGGAGGCAAAAACCCCAAACCAAACAAAAATTCAGGCATGACTGAACAGATCTAGGCTGCTCCTAGACTAACATGGTAATTATCCCACTGCACAGGCAAATACATATTCACCATTTCTAGCTGCAGAAATGCTATTACAACTACAGTTCGGTATTAAGGAAGAACATGCACAGGAGCGGGAAAACTAAGATGTAGGATAGGATATGTTGCTACATACAGACAGAACTGGAGCTGTTTGCTTTAAGCAGACGTCAATGTAAGGACTCCTATCTTACTATAAAACATCTTTTCTGAGGTGCAGTTTCCAGGAAAACATTAAAAAAAAAAAAAAAAAAGAATATATTTCTGTTATCTCTCAGTGCCAAAGAGGCAGGCACTGGAAAGCTGATCAAGACACCAAATCTTTTACTGGCTCTGTTCCCAGTTCTGGCTAAGGGCTATCGCTGCTCAAAAGCCATTCCATGTCAGCTGAGAAGAGGTGTACCTAGCTGCTGCCTGGCCGTGACAGCTGCTACGTGCAGCGTGCATCTTCTATGCATGGTGTCATGTAGGAGCCAGCTAACTGGAGATCACAGCAGCTCAGTCATGGCCAGATGCCTCTCTTTTTTCTTCGCTAGAGAGACATAACATTGTTAGCATGTGGAGAGGGTCTGGTTCCCAGATTTTCAGGTTAGTGATAAAAATGGTCAACAGATTAGAGAAGTTGCACAGACAACTCTATTTCTGACTCTTTTGAATTACTGTTACAGTTTTCCCTGGCAGACCATAGATGAAAATTTAGTTTACTCCATTAACAGCCTTAGACTTGGTGGCAAGGGCTGTTGAGAAAGATCTTTTCCAACCCATTTGGTCCAGAAGGAAATGTTACATATGTCTCTTGTTCACCAAATTAAGTACGGAAAAAAAATGAATCTTAGGTGGGGAACGGTATCACAATAAGGAGAGTATTAATAATGTTAATCAGACCACTACCTATTTACATAGGCACTTTCTCCACTTAAGTAGCCCGGCATTTTTGCTCTTCTACTTAAGCATTACTCTTCATGAATCCACTGAATTCTCTCTGGAGAGCAGAGTCCCCTGCAGTGGACGGTACTTCCATCGTACAAAATAGTCAGGAAGTGACTTTTGCTGGGTGAGGTCTTTTGTCTTACTATAAACCACCTCTCCTGAGATGCAGTTTTCTGAGGAACATTAACCAAAAAAACCCCGCCAAGGCTCCCAAGTCTAGCATCAATGTGTAATCCTCAGAAAAAAAATGTCTCTTTTACTAGCAGGACTTTCAAATATAGGAGGAATAAACTTTCCACAGCAAAAGAAAAATAAAATACTTGTAGTGACACCTCCCATAAGCAGGAGTGCCACCACAGTGACAGTACAAGATGTTGTCATGATCTGGCATATATTTAATTAAACTTCAAATAACTGAATGAATTAGTGTCTGCAGTTTCACATCTGTTTAAAATAAATTTTTGAGGAAGTCCACCTCCTACAGTTTAGAGTATTACAATTTTCATATGGCTTATACTTTCCTGCTCTTAATTTTCATAAAAGAGAAATCACCATGTGGCAGGATTAAACATAATTTTGCACAACTTTGTAAATATGTAACCACTTGCTGGTTATTAAAATCTTACGCACATGTGAAAAGGTTGTTCAAACATACTGGGTAAGTTAAATGTAAAGGAAGCCAGTAGGCATTTTCATTTTTGAAAGCCTACACTTTCTACTCGCCTTTGTGATTAACAAAAATAAAATGATAGCAATCATCTTCAAAGTTCTTTTCACATACTGAGGATATGGTACTGGTATGTAAGGAAATGTACAGAAGGGATGTCAAGATGCTACCTTTCCATTTGTCAGTCTAAAAGAAAGTCAAATGGGACCACTCTAGATGCAAATTGAAAATAAATTAGTGTTTTAAATGAAAAAGAGAAAAGGAAGCATTCACTATGGGGTGTAAGAGTGCACACATTACCTTGGATGCAGCAAATGCAAACATGTTAATGTTACTACATGATGGAAAAGCAAGACTGTATTCCAGATGAACTGCAAATCTTGACTTTATCAAGTTGACAGGGACTTCATAAAACCTTTTGTGTACTCTTTTAAACAGTTTCTTAAACTGTTTCCTGTGCATAGTTAACAGAAAGATATGCTTGCACTTAACTAACTAAAAAGAAGATGGTAAAGTAAGGTAAGGTAAGGTGTTGTCTTCAACCTTGGACAAAGCTTAATGCAGCTGAATTTTTACATTTGTTTTTGCTGATATAGCTTGGAATTCATTTCTGACAGCTGCCACCTTGCCAGTATCTTTGAATTACAATACTAAAATTGGTTCTTTAATGTCTATTATCAAAATAGGACAATCTCTGCAATCGTTTTAACAACAGGTCTTCACAAAAAAATGTTTTTTGCATCAATGCTTTTTGACTTACTGAAAAAAAATGTATGGTAAGTCCCCTTCAAAGCCTGAGAATGCAGAAAAGGGAACCATACGTTTTTTCTTTAGGTTCAATGACAAATAGGAAGACCTAGAATTACAAGTTCAATGCTTCTGCTCTGCATTAACAACGTAATTTGAAGAACACCATTTCCATGATGGATTTGTAATTTTTAAAAAATCTTGCATATACCTTAATGCTAAGACTGAACTTCTGTTGCATATTCCCACTTCCTTCTCAAAATAAATTCAGAATAAGGATTAAAATAAACATAAATATCAGTGTTACGGGAAAATTTCTAAAATGAGATAGAGCTGATCAGCCTGCATATAGATGCCACTTGACACGAACAGCTTTGTTTAATTCAAAAGTGCACAGAAGCTAACTAAAGAAAAGACAGAAAACAGACATCTGTTATTAAATAGAACCCTACTGCATTGTGAATTCCATGTTGTTTTACCACTATCAGGTAAATACGTGGCTTTTGTCAGCAGTCCATTAGAATTTTAAATAGACAGCAGTTTATAAGGAATTATTGATTTTTGTACATTAATAAGAAGTATGCTCTTGGTTATTTCATGTAGTAAAAAGTGCAAAAGATTTTTGCAAATATAACACACATATATGAAATGACGTTAGAAAATGCAGATAATTATACCTTGCCCCCACTCTCCCTTCGCTAAATTTCATGGAGGTAAAACCCGCATTTTTTAAGATGATGTATGAGTATGGATTTCACTGCTACATGGAAACATTATCCTAGTAAATAACCCATACTCTAGAAAAAGCACTGGTCTTAAAGATTTCAAAGAAAACAATTACCAATCCTGGCGCATTTCCAGAATATTCCCAAAAGTCTGTAAAGATAAAATAAATTAATTAGGCTCTTGGTTTAATAAAATAATTTAAGTCAACTGATTTTCTTTCTTCTATGCTAAAACAATCAAAATTAACAGCAGTTGGTCAACTTGACACTTTTCTCGACATCAGTAAACACCAGGTACCTGCACAGTAGGGTACAGGCTATGAACTGAGTAAGTGGCAAAGTTCTTTCTAAGTCTAGCAAGGTCTTTTTGCATGCAAGAAAAACAAATGTGCATTTGCTCAGTCTGTGTTGCAAATCGAAATATTTCATCAGAATTCTATATCGTACATTAAAGTATCCCAGACAGAAAATTGTGTAAAGAAAATAAAAACAGAACTAGAAAAAAAGTGGAGCAGGAAATACCAACAGACATCTATGTCATTCTATATGGGGAACTTTTTGTGTTAAGAATTTGAAGCAAGTTTTCCTGCAGGTATGCGAGATGATAAACCCAAGTACTTTAAATTTAATGCTTTGTAGCCTCTTTTTTATATTTCCCTTAGCAAAAGTAGATAAAAATGCCTCTTCTAGCAGAGCATATTCATAGGTGTAATCTGATATAGAATACTTATGTTGAAATAAGTAACAAGACAATTCTTCAGGTTTGTTTTTACTCTTTTACCAAGGTTTGCCTTGCTCATGTCTCTCTGCTGCTTGCCCAAGACATTAATCCTCACAGATGAAATAACAAAGGAGAAAAGCAGGATTCAACTATTCAGAGCCCATCCAAAGGGATGTACCAGCGTGTATGCCAGAAATTTATAATTTCTCTGCGTAACTCAAATAAGCTTATACTGACTGCTCAAGAAGAACAAGAGCAGGCACTGCTTGAGAATCTAAGGAGGAAGAGGGGAAGAACACTGAAGCATCCTGAACTAGAAACCTTTCAAACGCTGGTCAAAACTGTATTGAAAACCTGTCTACAGGAAGGTTTCCTTCATCGTGTATGACTCGTAGCAATGCAGTAAAAACATCTGGATTCGACTATATTGTCTATTTATAGATTTATGGACTAAAACCAACTTAATTATTTTTCCTCCTTGTCCCAATATGTTTATCAGCAGTAACTTCAGCCTACATTATTTGTGGGGTTATATCTACTACCTGCTGTGATGGCAGTTCTCCAAGTGCTTTCCCACAGTGTTTTAAGCCCATACTGACAACAGTTTGATTATCTGTCTTCCCTCTTTCTTGGGCTCTGGCAATTGCCTATTTTTTTCCTGCTTGGATGCAGACAGGTAGTTTTGGGACGGTTGCTCCCACACACTTCAGCAGTCAACATATCCTGCGCTTTTTAAAAAAGATTTTCCGTGCTACTTCATATTTTATGGCCTCTTTTATGGTCTTAGTTTAGTTCAGCATCCCTCCCTCTTTCCTTTTAGCAGCCTCCCCTTTATTTCTGAAACAAAGGTCCAGTGTCGGGCAGGTGAGAACCAAGTGTTCCAAGAGGCAGCAAGTGACTGAGGTTTTCAGATTCAAAGTGAAATGCTTTTTCAACAATGTACGTCTTGCTGACCAAGTTATTGTGAAGAGCATTTCAGCATTTTCGTTTTTAGAAAGCAGGTTTTTTCATTTACGCATTAGACTGTTTTACCTCAAGCCAAAAGTATTTCTGTATAATCAAAGCTCACTTTTTCTGCTTTTATATAGCTCCACAAGCAGAAGCAATAATTCCTACATGTAGACCATCGCACTTTTCCAGGCTGAGGTCATACAGTAAAGTAACCTGAAGACATGTATACACTTCTTGAAGATGTATGCAGGTAAAAGTGTACACCTTAACAGCAAAATACACAGCCCTGTAGTACTGTGTGAATGGCACTTAAGATTCAAACTGTTGTCACACTCTGCAAAATTAATATTTACAGATTGCATGCTGCAAAACCAACACAAAAACTTCCACAGCCCAGCACCTCATGTTGCCATCTCTCAAAAACTTGCCCAGGAACTCAAAGAAATAAAACATTACTGTCCTTTTCATCTGCATATTTGAAGAATCTTGCCTGGGAAAAAGAATATTAACTCCCTCAGGCAGTCCATAAATCTGCTGAATTTGCCTCTCACAAGGGTATTTCTTTGCCCTCTCAGGGCTTTTTCAACCATGTGTAACAATGTAAAGTTATAACTCAAGTATTGTACATTGTTCCCAGCCCTAGAAAAAACCCTTATTGGGGAAAACATGAATTTTCCTTTCTGATATGGGAGGTACAAAACAGAATATGGGTTTCCTCAGCTACTCGTACTGCAGTTAACAATTCATGAACTTAAAGCCACTGACATGAGGACTGGCAAGCCTTCCAACAGATGACAACAGTACCTTTTTAAGAGGCTTGTGCTGCTACTGGAACAGCTCAGTACATCTATTTATCCATGTAGTTTGCAGCTAAGCAAAAGCAAATTGAAACCTGGACCTTCTAAACAACTGTAACCACAGCCCCTGGATGAACTGGGGAGCTGACATTGGAAGAAAAACCTGTGCAGGCCTTCTGCTCTCCTGCATTTTTCCATTACTGTTCATCTCAGGTCCACAACACACACCTCGTCAAGTCAAAACCTGTTTGATTATTATAGGCACGATGCTGCCTTGAATGAATCTGCTCCAACATAATTCCTCCTGAAGCAACTACTCAAAGTAATTGCACTGTTCCTTATTCTCCCCTTCATGTTCACCTTCATCCTTGTTTTGATGCAGGTGAAACGTGTCAGTCTGGCTTGCATACATGGTGTTTTCTGGCAGCCACAAGTCAAATGTGCACGAGCTGCTGCATATTCCTGGCTTTCAGCGCCAATGTTAAAAGCACTGATCATGAAAGTGGTGTTAGTTATCTGGATAACAAAAAACCCAAGGAAATGAAACCCAGTAAGACGAGAAAGGTCTAGCGGGGCTTTCGGCTTTGGTTGCTAAACTGGGAATGCTACAAAATGCAGCTGCCATGTGTTTGCCAGGGCAACCCTGCTACCACTGCAGGAGGGAGTCTGAGAGACACCCCACTGCAACGCTTATGGCAAGTCAAAGGAAACCTCTGCTGCGTATAAGATAACACATCTTTCTGGTTAGCAGGGAGGAGAGAATTATGTTGTGGTACACATTCTCCTCTAGCTAGCATGAAACAGTAAATCAACACTTGCTTTCCCAACCTTAAATGCTATTGCTCAGGACAAAGCACATGGAAACACTCAAGACGCGTCAGAGAAAATGAAGGTTTAAAATTCTGTTTGGCTTGGTATGAAAAGACACATTTTGGCAGAAGTCAAGGGGATGAAATACAGTGTTATGAGGATGGGTGACATCACTTTGCAACAGTCTCTCCACCAACAGAAACATGTTTCTTTACTTACTATCAACAGATTTAAATCTTCACCAAAGTTACCACTCACTCAGTCAGAAATATAGTGAATAACTATCAACATTTCTCCTCTCTGTCACTTCCATATTTTATTGCTACTTTTTTTGTGCTATTAATTTGGAGCAGAAATAATGAGGTAAGATCATCTCTGTGGTAAAATGAAATATCACTAGAATTTATTTTATCCAGTATGTCTAGACATTTCCATTTGAGCATGGAATATGTTAGTGAAGAGGGACAGGGGTTTAACAGCATATGAGCTCCATGTAAACATCTACTATTCAGGAAACAAATTTCATTGCTTCCAGGCCAACGTTTTATTCTCCAGTACAAAGTAGTCTACATGCATGTATATAAAACAAAAATAAAATAGTATGTCCAACATCTATATAAATACAAACCTACAGATCAAACGCCCAACTCCTCCACTGTGTCAGCACCCTTTGAAAACATTTTATGAAGAGAGTTCTATTGTACTCCAGACAGATTTGCCTCAAGAATAAACAGAGTAGCTCCAGATTAAAGGAAATACTCCTTGCCAAGAACAGCACTAAAATTTTAATCAGTAAAATAAATATTCTTACTTCTTACTGTGTATACCTCATTGACTATTGTGTTATCTTCTACTAACAGACACCCAAATTCCCCCCACCCCCCAGTCCTTCATGAAGTCACCCTTTCTTTCCATCTCTACTTCTATCAAAAGAAATCTCTCATGTCAGTGGCAACCTCACGGACTCACATGAAAAGACACAAGCATTTTCACACTAGCACTCCAAATCGAAAGAACACCTGCCTACTCTGGGTATCTTACACCACTAAAAGAAAACTTGTGTGATAAAGTAGTAATTCCAGAGGTTAACTACAACAACATTTTCAGAAGACAAGCATTCAAGGTTCTTGGTGACAAAAGTCTACTTAAAACTTGACAGTTTTTTTGAAAATAAAATGCAGAAGTGACAGGAGATATTTAGGGAAAAAAACATTTTCTTTAACAGCAAATGATCTAATGGAAAAAGTGGACAAGTCAAACACCCAGTGCCCAAAAGTGTGTCTGTTTTTTCCAACTAGAACATTACCAGCAAGAATTACCTCCTACTTCTATAAATATTATCTCCTTTGTATTAACCTTAGGTGACACTATTACTGAAATACTATGGATGGATGGCCTCAGTGGTTTCTAGGTGAAAATTGCCCTTTCATTACTTTAAAACTACAGCATTTAAATCACAGTTCTGCATACTGCTGATTGTACGCAACATCCAGTCACATTCTTTGTAGCACAAAGATAACTGGTGAGCCAAAATGTGAATGGTTATTAACAGTGTAAATGAAACACAGACTTGGATCCATGGCATTCTTCATTTCCCACCACCCCCAAAAAGAGCTGTTTTTTAGCAGTACTGGCCCTGCAATGTGAAGCCCATTTCAGGAGACCGCAGAACACCAAGTAGAGAAACGTTGGTCACCTAGGAACATGGGCTTTAGGAAGCACATCTCTATTTAGTGAGAGGTGAAGTTACAGTGACCAAAGGAGAAGCAAAAAAAAAAAAAAAGGGGTTAGGTTTTGTAGAAGCTTTCAAAAACTTTTCTACAAATTCCTTAAGAATTAAAAAAAATATTTAAAGAGTCCACAGATAGTGACAGTGTTGCTTATTTTAAAAAATATTTTTAATTTTTTTTAGTTACAGATTGAGTGGTTTTGCTGAAGCTATATTTCAACCTCATATGTCCAAAATGCCTACTCTGAAAAAAAAGAGACACCTTCTGCTGTTAGTATTTTTTTATCCAGCCTTAAGAATTAAAAATAAATTATTACAGCAACATTTGCATGTAGAAAAATGTTTTGCCACTCATGTCTGTACTTGTAATAAGACTCTAATGAGAAAGTTGCAAGTCTAGAAAAAAACTAATAAAACAGTATTAGCTGGCTTTGTTAGTTAATAAATTCTGACTAAAAAAGTGCTTGCAAATACCTTATTGCCTTCTATTGTAAGATATAAAATGAAGACTTTTATCTTTGAAGAAGAGAGAAATTTTTCAAAATTGGATTTTTATTATCACATATCATTAGAAGACACTAAGAGTAAAATGTTGCAGTTAAAATTAAACAACTTGCGTATTTTTAAAACGATCAGACTACATACCCGGTTTTATTTTTGTCCAGTAAGCTGGGAGCCAAGGATCTGATATAGGCACAGGTACATATGAGCAGCAAGATTACAGTAAGTAAACTCTGAAAGTTGAAGATGGCAGACTATGGAAGAAAATCAGAAAAGAAAAATTACTTCGTTGCAGTACAAAACTTCCCTCACTGCATAAGCTGAAGAAAATAAGTGATCCCCTAGACAACACCCATTAAAAAGAAAACTGAAACCTACAATGCCAGTGAACCAGAAAATTTTAACAGCCCATTGCACACAATGGTGGAAGAACTGAGTTTTTCTGTCTCAATCCATCCCAAGAAGGGTAAAGAAATAGCAAGCAAAATGGTAACCTTACAGTTTTTCTCCCAGGCACCTGTTCCAAAGCCAGTCTGTGGAAACCCACTAGCACTGGGCTAAGAATTACAGAAAACGGATGTTCCCTCTCGGCCAAGAATAAGTGTAACTGTGGTTTGCATCAATAGAATATGGCAGTGGTGGTGAAGGTGGAGGTAAAGAGTATTTGACAACTAAACCAGCAGCAGCCAAGACACAGAATAACAAGAAATATGTACGAGGATTGTTAATATACTGCTTTATGAAGACTACACCTAAAATTCAACAGATTTGTAGAAATATATACAATTAAGCCCACATGATCTACAAAAAGGTAATGGATTAATTTCATTTTCAAATCACGTTTTGATTTTGAATTCAAAAGCATCTTTACTATAAATACATTTTTTAGAAGTGCTAATTATGGAAAATGCTGGACAAATGAAGGAATTGCCTTAGGATGAAGAAGTAAAAATCTATAGTTTGACAGTCAAACTAATCTGCCTAGTGGCAGTAAGAAGAAACAATACTTGAGAAACTGCTATAATATCTGACTATTTGCTAAAGTTTAAAATATCAGTACAGTGCAGTTAAGTGCACCTCAAAAGCAGGTTTGTTTTTTTTTAACTAAAGTCAGAGTCTTGTGTGTCCAACATGTTCTTTAATCATTAACTTAGAAGCAATTATCATTGCTTATGTGAAGCAGTCTTTTCCAAAAGTATAAACATTCTGGGAGAAGAGAAGGTACTCATGTAAGGACAGCTGTACGTCCATAACCAAGTACAAAATCTGGAAGATGGCTGATGCTGATTTCCAGCAAGTGCCCCATCACCATTCCAATAAATAATGCACTAACAACATTTTAATTTTTTTTTTCTCCAACAGGTTCATTGGAATTTTTAGTTGAAATATTTGCCTGCTAGTCCTTGTGATCTGTAGCTTCTAAGAATTAGTCCCAAATTTGAGACTGAGATTCTTCTAATAAAGTGAAAATAATCCAGCTGCATGAAGCTGCAGTGTTATTGTTTTGTTTGTTTTTTTTTAACTTAGCATGTCTCAACTGACATTTTGGCCAACTTAACAGCACCAGGTAGTATACTAGGTAATTGCTTACTTCAAACAGCCTTATTGTCTCTTTGCTCAGCTATCCTCATTTGCAAACCCTATTTAGTCTGAACTACAAAAAAACGACAAAGCAAATACAATGAATTCACCCTTTGTTCTGGAGTTCTGACAAATTTGTGTCTAAATATCTCATATTTTTTTCATACTGCTCAACCCAGAAGGCTGAGTAGTAGTGTTTAATTAAGTGTAAATACTTAGCACTTATGAAGGGATGTTACCTTGCAGTTTCCTCCTTCGAGCACAACTCGGTGGGATTTAAGAGCACATCAGAGCTCCCATTTCCATAGCCTCAGGCACATCTCTGTTGATCTATGAGCACTTTCCTCCTATGTCTCAAAACTAATGTTTTGAACCTCCAATAATCAAACTTCTCGAAATAGTTAGGGAGAATTACAAAAAGAAAGTACAATATTTCCATTCAGTGTTGCACTAAAAGCAAATTAAGAGAGGAAAACGAGAAGCTCTAGTAGAAGCAAAGCCACTGGAACATCCATGACCCTTCTGATTCTGAGATCTAAAACCTCTTAACAGAAAAACCCCAAACCTTGGCTTACAGAGAAGTCTCCATGCATCACATGAAGCAATACCGAAACATGCATACAACTGCCAGCCCGAATACACGCATTAAGCAGGGCTAGATAAACTAATTTAAATATCTACGTTAATGGGGTCCAACGGGCCACCCATGGGTGGGGAGCCACCTGTTAAGAAGGAACAGCATAAAGGGGCTCAATGATCAACTGAACAACTCTGCCTCTCCAGCCTGTATGAGAGATTTCAGCATCCTAGAGGGCATGCCCTCAAGGGCGGCGTTAGCAGTTGGGGTGAATGCCCTACTCTTCCCTTTACTTCTGCCAGATGCAGGAGCCTTCTTGCCATCAACTGTCCTTCTACAGGAGCAAAATTCCCATGCCAGTTCCCTCATTCCTTATGCCTATTCTATGACAACAAGACTGAGAGACAAAAAACGGAGAGGGTGAAAAAGTGATTATTAGGATGCAGAGAGAATGTAGGCAGTGGAGAAAGGTAAAGAGTAAATGGCAACTACACGCAGCAGCTGACACGCAGGAAGGTTTGCGCGATGAGCAAGAACATGGAGAGGGGACAAAACAGTGGAGCAGGGACCCAAGACCCAAAACCACCCCTCAGGCGCTCAAGGAGAGGCCACCTGCATCTACTAAATCATGTTTTAGTTTACTATTTTAGCTTAGCTAGCTGAGTCATCATTTAAGTGTCACAAATAACAGACAGATTTTTCACAAAGGCCAAAATGCTGCCCACCATTATCAGTAGACTCTTGCCTTTGTAGTAGGGACAAGCTTTTGCCAACTTCAAAAACCAGGAAACTCTTTAATTCCCCCACAGAGACAACTCTTAGGACGTACAAGAGAGCGTCTCCTGGCTCCTGCGGGTCTAGGAACGCGATGGGGCCGGATCCAGGAGTGGCTGCCTCTCAGCAAAGCCAGATACTCCCTATCAACTGATTAATTCGATCAGTCCTCCGGGAGAGACAGCTGCTCTCAACATCTCACAGCACAGCGCCTGCCAGCGCTTGGTTCCCATGAATTCCTGCAAGCTTTCTCCCGCAGCTGCTTCCCAAGGAGGCTGGCGGTATCGGGTACTTGGACATATGAAAATGGCAGAAGGGCACACTTGCTTCCTCTTAAGCAGGGATTGTAAATGTATACTCAGGAAATGTGTTATTAGTCAATCAATAAGGGCAGTATATAATCACTCTTTGTTGGGCTCTTCACGTGTTTCTCCAGATATGCTGCGTAGGGCATCACTGTAATTACAGACATCATTCCACTGAAATGTGCTCTGAATTACATATTTATCTATACAGTCACTTTAAAAGGACAGATATGCATATTTTAAAATTTGTTTACAATTTTAAACTGGAAATGAAAATTTATTTCTGAAGTAGACGGCTTCTCATTTCTCATGCGAAGTAATTCTTAAGGCCCAGCTGAATTTACAGAAAAGGGCAATTTACATCCAGCTGCTTGAACTGATGTAATTAAAAACTGCTGTAAGAGTCATAAGTTACTCGGAATCCTTTCAGAAAATACTGCGTCCGCATACCAAGCTATTTCGAAAATGTTGTAATGTAGGCGGGTTGCAGTTCACTTGGTTAAACTGGGTTCCTCTGATCTAAAAGTAATTAACGGGAATTTTTCAAATGTGTTGACTAGCTTAACGTAGACCTGTGAGCCTCACTACCACTGTAAAGACATTTCAGCACATGGAGATATTTATGCTATCTTTCAAACTGTGTCCACACGCTGGTGAAAAGTCAACTAACGTCCCAAGGCTTAGATTGCAAATGCAGAAAAGAATCAACACTGGTTATTTTATTCTTGTTTTAGACAGTGCAAGCTGTAGCTTTAATTATACATGCTGAAATTTTCTACATCTGCATTTGGCACATTTCTGACATGGTAGAAACACCTTAGTAGTTACACTCAGTGTTACTTAAGTAATTACACTTTTTTCCCCCCTCCCTCTCCTGTGTGCTGTCTTCAGGTAGCTGTGGAGCACTATCACATCACCTGCAGCACTAATGAAGTATTGTATTCGGCAGAACTTGCAAGAGCAAGTTTTTTCATAAGTCTTTAGAAATTTAAGACCATGGATTTTAGCTTTGAAAGCTACATGCCCAAAGGCTCTTTTAATCCTTCCTAAAATTAGACCTTACAAAAACCCCTTAATATTATTTCCCTGATTATATCGTATCTTAGTAAAAATAATTCCATATAATACACCATAGAAATAGAGAATGAATACTCTTCAAAATTTTCCTGCGTTCACATTAGCAGTGGTGGCATGTATTAGAAAACCTCATGCGAATATATGGTCGTTAGAGGACAAACATTACAGCTAGAGACATCTGAATGTATTCCTATGCGAGTCCGCATCTGAACAGCGTAGCTGTCAGCACAGAGGCCACTGGGGCAAAACAGGGAGTTAGACGGAAAGGAACAGTCTCCAGTTGCCTCTGGTAGACACCATCCCTGAGTCTGCTAAAACACAGGAGCAGGAGATGGTGCAACTGCTCCTTTTTCTGGAGGGAGGGAAGGAGGAGCTTGCTGATGGAGTAAAAAGTAATCTATGGAATAGTATGTGGGAATTTAAGTGTTTAATATACTTTAGTAAGTGTTGATTTAGAGTGAAAAATTTACAATGTGTCTGAGAAAGGGAATCCTGATAGGCAGCCCCTGTCAACATGATTATAGACAATGTCACTCCTGCAATTTAGTCAGCATTAAATTTACTACACTTGGGAAGAAGGAAAGAGGCAGCTCAGAGTTCTGGTTATCAACAATTCTTGCACTTTATAAGAGCATTTAATTCAATATGCTGAAAGGAAGGGCGCAATCAGATGATTGACTAAATTTTTATTGACCACTACTAAATGTGTATTCAGTCTCAGCACATAGCCATAACAGATGCCCTGATCCTAAACTTTTTTTCTACAGTGAAAACAGCCATAGTCAAGACTTTGTATTGTGTCTACCTCTGTACTTCTTATTTGCTCCATCACTCCTACATTCTCCGATTCTGATACTATTTTGTTCAAGATCCTTGCAGACAGCACCATGGAATTACAAACCACTTAATGATGCAACCCTTGAGTAGCATATAATAAACTACATCATAAGTTTTGTTGCAACTACATGTGTCATGGAAGGACCTGCTGAATTTCCCTTTGCCTGATATATTTTCAATTAAATAAAACAGTTGATATTTTTCTACGGGGAAAAAACAACATGCAGGAGGAGAACATAAACCCTATACTGTTGTCCCCCCTGGGTTGGCAGAAAGCCCAAAACAAAAGCTCTCCCAGTTTTTCTCAACAGACTTAACACTGAAACCAAAGCCTAATCTTCCCTAGACTTTCAGTATTTACAAAATGATTACTCTATCTCTGATTGCAGTGTGACCATGATTTCATCTGTGTGTGCTATAAAAAGAGAGGCCATCACAGTGCCAGCAAGTTGTTAAACTCTGCCCCGCCGTTACTTTAATAATAATCAATTTATGTGGGTAAACATAGATAAATTATTGGAATATTCTGAAGAAACTATAACTGCATTTGTGTAATATACTGCAGCATATACAGTCTTTCTAGAAGAGTTTTATTTTCTTTTTTCCTCCTCAGTGCTATAAAATTGATGGATGATTATGTTCTCTGGAATCAAAGAAACAAATGCTGGTATCTGATCGTTTAGCTGCCTTTCTCCTATTAAAATGTGAACAAGAGCTTACGCTGTAGTTAAACTGTGGTTAAGCTGATAAAAATGTAAAAGCCTACATTAAAATAGTAATGTAGGCTTCAAATCCCATCATAGGAAAGTGAAATCAATCTAAGAAATTTTAATGAAGAGGTCCTTAAAAAACTGAAAGAGAAAATGCCTATTATCGAAGGTTTCCATTAGGTACTGCAACTCTTATTTCCCCAGCCTACGTCCAATTTTTAGGACCAAAATATTGAAAAAAAATAATAGGAAATAAAATATGTAGGACTACTCCCAACCTGAAGGTCAAAGCAATTGCTAAAATTAATTAAAACATGCACATAATTATATTATTTTCCAACCTATTCTGAAATAATTTGTTTTCCCACTGCTGCCAAATGTAATCTGCTAAAAATGAATGGAAAATAAGCATTTGTAAAAGAGGCATGCTAAGAAAAATACAAAACTTGCAAATCAGTTAAGTTTGAAGTGATTACTGGCAAAACTACACTGAAGAACTAAACAAGAGGTGTTTAAACAAAACTGGTTTGTGCTTAATAGTATCTAAATATCATCCAGTTAGCAGTTACTTGTTGCTCCAACATGAATAGCGTTTTCTCACTTTAAGTTTATTGCACATTCACCCCAGTATTTAGTTTCCAAAAAATTTAAGTACAAAATTCAACACTCATTCACATTTCTGTGTGAATTTTCTCTAAAATATTCAGAGTTCTGTCTAAATATGTATTTTTGCATTTATAAAACTTAGGCTACGGCTCGATAAGAGTAATAGGGAATCTTTCCCCTAGACACTTCTTGAAGAAGTACGTTGCCTAACTGAAATGGCAAGTACACCACATCGGAACTAACGTGTTAACATATGCTTTTCAGTCAACTGACACACATCTGTTTAAAACATAACCAATCTTTTTAACCAATTAGACAATGAATTAACAGATGGAAACAGTTGTCCTCTCCTACAAAAGCTCTCTTGACTTTAACTCATCTAGTTTTTTTACTGCAGTTCAAATCCACAGACCAACACTGAATTGACACCTCAAGGTGACGATGTTGAAATTCCATGCTCGCTTGAATTTCTTCTTCTTTGCGCCAATACCTAAACAATAGTATCAAAACTGAACTTTTGGTGTAAGCAGCTAGCAGATGCAGCATTATTATGCTATTACAGTCGATGTGACTGGTGTCACATGTGATTGGTGATAATGCTGCAGCCAATCAAAAAATTAAATTGTGAAATTGATTATTTTATGGTAACCTCCTTTTTTGTTCAACTTGGATCATGAGTGGAAAATCTACAAAGCCCATTATTAATTTCAAATGGTCTGCGGAAAAATGCAATCCCCACTTCTCATGCTATTACTGAATAAAATTAAGATGTTTAATAGTAGTAGACAGAATGCCAAAAATGTTTAGTAAGAACTGCTCAGCACTCAGCAAAGAAATGGTTTCTGACAACTAGTGTCATTCCTTGACTGTTCAGGTATGTGGCAAAATTCGTAAAAGTAGACTCATTGCACCCAACTCTTCCCAAATCAGATCAAGAGATGTATCTTACAATAGCAGAAGAAATAATTTCCTCTGTTCTATAATCACTGAAGCAAAATATTGATGATATGTTTTCACATCCTCTTGTAAATCGACACAGAAGTATCTATACTGAACACTT